TCGGCAAGGAGCACGCTATCTTGAGGGAGGCACGTATATGTGAACGTTGTCAGAGAAGGAGCCAAAAGAATGGAGCTAAATGTCGAACGTAAGATACTGAACGTCATTTCATCGACTTAAAGGGTGTTTCAAAACTCCGTGGACAACATGAGGACCCCGGAATTTCTTAACCACGTAGTTTTCGAGAACGACAATTCGCTCGAACATTAAGCATATCGCAAGGAATACGCATGCAAAGAATGAGAGGTTTTCATGTCCAGTTAAAGTCTCTGTGATTGGAGCATACATCGAGGGATCCGATAAGAGATAGTATATGCCTTTGTACCAGGGTCTTCATTGAAGACTCTTCAAGGTATACTATGAAGGGTTCAGGTAATGGTCTTTGTAGGCTCGAACCAGGGCAGTTACGTCGTCTACAGCCCTTCTTATCTCTGGAGGTGAACTATATTATTTCTAGCCTCCTCTTCAATAGGGGGGGGGCCAGAATGATGCCCCACGGTTCTGCACTACTCCATGAATTTCTCGGGAGGAGATATTGACGGCTGACTCTCGGGTAACTCAACATGGCTCTTTCTGCTATGACAAATATCTTCGGTAGTGATGCAACAATGTCTGTCGAACAGACCAGAACTGAAAATCAGAGTGGGAAGCATTGAAGTACTTACGGATATATTTGGGTCACGAAGAGATTCGAGACTCTACTTTTATGGTACGGACTTCGCAATGAACTTCTCAGATTGAATATCGGTTGCGTCACAAGGATACATTGTCATTCAAAGGTATTAAGCGATGAGATTGATACGAAGAATGAAAAGAATAACTGGGATGGATCACAGATCCTCAGGATCTGATCCTGAACATAATGGGATAACTCACACCCAGGATTCCCAACATAAGCTGGTCGAGATAGAGTCTGATTCTCCGTGAGAATCAAGCCGTACTAAGACTGTCAATGATCACCAAGTATATACCTCACTACTCGCAGATACCTGATCTACAATCACAGTCAGTAATCCCGAGACAATCATCTTTGTTTTGTGGTAAACAGCTCAAGAAAAATAATGGAAACATACAGTTCCCTTTTATGCAAAGGCATTTTCCACCTGGGCATTGAGAGTCATTAGTGCAGCTCTGCGCACCATTTGCAACAACGATAATAGCAGAGAGAATGGTGAGGATACGGATCATGTAAGGGGTGGAGATTACAACAACTACGAATGACATCCAATGACACATATTGCAGGATCAAAGTCATCACAAACATTTGGCGAGAAAACTTCAAATTCCTCCTCACGTATCATGACTCGCGTGTTTCCCGTGCTTCCACACAGACGCTTGGGGCACTCATGAGCGTGCAAGTACGAATATAACTGAGGATACGAGGTTGAATGCATCAACCTGAATGGTCACTTAGCTCGAACTATCCCCCTCTGCCAGAGGGCCTCTGGACCGAACTGGGGATTTGAATTCTCAATTCTCCATCCATCTCGGAGATAAACATGTACACACGTTAAGGTTAAGCCACACGTGGAATGCTCACGCCTTCCGACACAAAATAGGCACTTCAATTGTGCGGGCGCAGGCGTAACACACAAGCACACGGATCGTATGACACGATCCATTGTACGCTCTAACAAAGAGATTATAGTTCCTCCCCTGAAACTACGAAGCTGCAAGTTTATTCGTGGTATCTTCTCTCACATTCATACCGTTGTCGGGCACTATCAATTACCGACCTTCCTCTTAACTTCTTGTTAAGATTCATTCGGTGGCGCATCTTGAAGGCCTGCAGCTGAGGCCTCTCCGATGGTTGGATCCTTGGATGGCGACAATCCCTACTCCAGAATAATCTACCTACATAGTGTATTCATCAAACGACTTTCAGTTCAAAAGACGTATCGAATTATACACGTTATATTCTTCACCCTTGTTACAAGGGTCTTGTATCGACAAACTCATCTGTTTTTATAGGGATTCAAATAACCGAAACATCCTATAGTATGTCACTTGAACAACAAACTAGAACTTGTCTACCGTGTATCAAAATCTTATTTATTCAGTAAATTCTGCTGAGCCAATGCCGCGTGGCTCGAAACTTTCGAGTCGAACGCTACCTCTCTTCCTTTGCATCAGAAGTCATTTCTGCGAAGTGTGACACGTCCCGTATAATGCCTCCGTTCCCTCGCGTCGCGGCATCACCGCAACAATTGCTGTGACAGAGGCGTGAGCTACGACTAAGCCTTTCAGCGACTCGTCGTCCCCATTTTCTGCCCCGGTAATCGTTCGCCGAAAGTCCCTCCCTGAGCCCCTGGAATCCGCATCCTGGACGACTAATTAGATGTTTGTCTGTTCCAAATCGCCCTTATCCGTTGATGCCGATACCTGAACGTCTATCTCTTTAGCGACCCTTATTATCGTAGTCATTTTTTGTCTGTGGCTCATTCTATTTCCGGTCTCATATTACTATCCATTCTTCTTCATTGGATCTCTAGCCCGGTTGTGGATCCCAGCAAAAAAAGCTAACTCTCAGCTTTCATTGCCTTTCGTTCAACTTATAACTATACCTCAAATCGGGATTCCCGATTAATTGACTATGAGGCCACACCTCCAAATTCTCTAAGACAGTTTACTGAATCAGCAAGATATTCGATCTTGACGACTGGCTATGCTCCGCGATTGAGAACCATCACATTCCAGTAGGGAAATAGAACTGAGTTCTTCAACAATACCGTCTTTAAATTACTGAATGAGCGAAAATGGCAACCACTATGGGACGCGGAGATCAACCATCATCAGGGAAGACACATCAAATTCCAATGGTTGAGGAAAGAGAGTTGACCTCACCATTCGAAGGTCTTGGGGAAACCCAGGCCGTACAAAAAACCAGCTGCACGACAAAAACTCAACCGGCTGATGAAGTTCCGGTTTGAATTGATAGTTTTTTGGACCCAAAACCGGAAACTCGACCAGAGAAAGGCAACTCTTCTAGGAAAAATAAGTCAGCACCAGGATCACTCAACTCTTCTGCTCTTCTTGGCGGCTCAGTGCGTCCATACTCCATCGATAGAAGACTCGTAAGCCCTGACCGCACTTGGTGGAGAGTCAATCCCCGGGAGCGCCGGACCCTGATGGCTGATCCTCATCAGCTTGACAAACATACCACTTGTCATGCTCCGAACCGGAGCCATCGGATGACCATCGAATGGTCATCTGCTATGCGAGTCGAAAGTTGGAACATCTCTCGACAGAACCTGTCGAACTTGGTCGACAGAGTGCGATGGAACACAGCCACGGTTTGGATATAGGACTCGCGCATGAGGAAGCATCGGTGCAATTTATCGCCCTGACTGCTTAGCCTGCATTTTCTACACATACATATTTCCGTACATATACATAATCATAGACATATACATATACATAAACATAGACATGTACGTGAACATATACGTAAACATATGCATAACCATATACATGAACATATACATAAACATATACATATACGTAGACTGAATAAAACTCAGTGAATATTGACGAACCAACTATAAAACACGATATAATTCTGAATATTAACGAATAAACTATAGACTATAATGTGATTCAATAAACGAAATTGTTATTAATCTAAACTGTTCAAAAGAATGCGACACCGACTATGTAGAGTTAAATAAATATATTGAGCAAGCAATGAAAGAACAGAGTAGAAAAGGTGTTTAGTAGGTCAGGTCAAAATTTCTGGGTAAACGGTGTTTGTGGTTAGAAAACTGGATATATTTGCGGATGGGTCCACGTTCGCGTAGTGTTCTTGATTTACAACGAATTTAATATTAAGAAGATTTCCAATCCGTGATGCCCCGACGTAGAAATGTCCATAGGAAAATGGAGGATGGGGGAGATAAAGACCTACCTTTTCCAAAGGTTGACTTTGGGTTGCTTGGTTGATAGTGCAGGACAAAGAAGCCTTCAATGAAAATTGCCGTCGCTCAAGACAGAACGGTAGGTCGGTATCGGAAGGAGATAATGAGACTCTGAATAAGGACAATGCGACCACCGTAAGCACCTCCAAGCACTTCGGTTTTGTTAATTTTAACTGGGTGTCCTATGAATCCTCGAATGATATACCGTGTGCCATTGCAATGTCCTTTGAAGGGTCAAGATTACGAAGAAGCATAATAGGAGTATTGACTTATAATTCTAGGAGATGAGGAGGAGGTCCGTTCGGTGTCAAGGAATTGAGGAATTCTGTTGGGATATTGAGCTGTTGTGTCTCATCAGAGATTGTATCAGCACTGTAAAGTTTATGAAGTACGCCAGGCATTTTGCGGATTAAAGAGGAATTAAGAGGCGTTAATTACGGATTATAGATTCAATATTGTCGTTGGTACTACCAACTTGGTAGGGCTTAGAATGCACCTATGGTAAACCAAAGATTTATTTGTGTGGTTTTCAGGAGAC